AGATAGATAGATAGATAGATAGATAGATAGATAGATAGATAGATAGATAAATAGATAAATAGATAGATAGATGCTGGACAGGAAAGAATATAGGAGAACAGAAAAGATGGGGAGAAAGTTCTCAGTCAATGATAAATTAATTTTATTCATCTAAGAATAGTACTGATACTTATGGCTTTAATTTGGAGAAATACTGATAAAGTTTAGACATCAAGCTATACTTAAGTACTATCTTAAGTATAGATACAATTTAGATTTAAAATAAAGCTAAAATATTTAACTTAAGTAATATGAAAGCAACACTTATTCTAATCAGAAAAAAATACAGAAGATCTGAGCCACAATAGTGGAGCAGACAACACTGCTAGGAATGGCTCTGAATTGGAAAGATGATTCATTACAAATTTTCCCCAACATAATATTTTTATTAATTATTTGGGAAATTCATGTGATGTACCCCAATCATACTTACTTTCTATACCTTCAAGGTCCACGCTCTCACTCTTGTGCCTTCTCCCCTCTCCCAAGAAAAAGAAAATTATACCAAGTCTAATTTTTCTTGTCCTGGAGCATGGTCAAACCACAGTGGCCAGCCCCCGTATAGAAAACTTAGTCTTACAAAGTAAATAAACTGTAATTAATACAAAGAAAAAAAACTCTTTCCCCACCTCCCACCCCTGCCAGAAGCCATTAACTGTAAGGAGCTACATCTCAATATCCTTACTATAGTTTTTAAGGACTCTTCAATAGCTTAACGTCTGGACTGTTTCTTTTTTGGAGAGGGTGTTAGCATAGCAGCCTTCAATGTCTCTCATTCTCAGGTACAAATCTATGTCATCAATAACACTACAAAAGATGTGAACCTGTCGATAGCAACCAGCAGCAACATGGATCATGGACATCAAAATGGTTTCTGATGGCGGCACAGATCCCAACATCAACATGGCTTTGGGCAGTAGCACAGACCACAGACATCATCACTATGGCCTCCAGCAGTAGCATGGACCATGAACATCAACACAGCCTCCAGCGGCAGCATACACTGTGGTCATCAACATGGCCTCAGGCAGTAACACAGACCACGAAGGACATCAATACAGCTTCCAGCAGCAGCATGGACCACAAACATTAACCTGGCTTCCATCAGCAGCCCAGATCACGAACATCTACATGGCCTCCAGTGGCGGCATGGACCAAAGACATCAACATGGTCTCCTGAGGCAGCTCTGATCAACAGTCTTACTGAATATATTGTTTAACTGCTCTATCGCACAGATTAAATACTGTATAATTTTGCCACTGCACAAAGTAGGCTGTAAATAAATCATTCAAAAACAGCCACAAAATATCCTTGATTTTAATGAAAACTTATTGTCAAAAATTCAGAATAATGGCAACCTGAGGAGCCTGCGACCCTGAGGCTGCCACCTTAAAAGCCCCTGTAGCTGACACCTGATGAGCCCACACCCCCAAGGCTGCCACCTGAGACACTCATGCCCCACAGCTGCCTCCTGAGACTCCAGCAACCACACAACTGCCTTCAGAGACACCTTCACCTGCCCACACTCATGCCCACATATCTGCCCTTCAAGACACAAGCGCCTGCACCCCTGCCCTTTGAGGCACCCACCCCCATGACCTTCCTTCCAAAACACGCACCCCAGTATGGCTTCATCCAAAATGCCAGCCTGGTCTTTCCCTGGACCTCTCTCACCATCCTGAAGACTACTCCAGACTCCACAGATGGGCGAATCCAGTCTTCGGTGCAGCTCTTCTAGCTGAGGGGACCAGCAGGACCTCACCTGATTATAAATACCTGAGAAACCCAACAGGTTCAAGGAACAAACAGCCAAGGCTACGGACAACCAGATGGCTAAAGGACAGTGTAAAATCATAATCAAAAAAAAAAATAACAGGACATCATGGCTCCACCAGACCCCCCCCCAAAAAAAAAAAACAATGGATACTAAATGCAGCAGAAACACAGGAAAATGACCTTTAATCTATGCTTATTCAATTACTAGAGGCATAGAAAGAAGAAGCAAATAAATCCCTCAAAATAATATAGGAAAACAACCAAACAAATAGAGGCCATCAAGGACAAATAGGAAACTACAATCAAACAGGTGAAGAAAATGAACAAAACTGTTCAAGATCTGAAAACAGAATTAGACTCAATAAAGAAAACACAAACCAAGAAAACCCTGGACATGGAAAACTTAGAGAAGAGATCAAGAACCACAGAAGTAAGCATCACTAACAGAATACAAGAGGCGGATAAGAGAATCTCAGGTGATGAAGATATAATTGAAGAAATAAAATACATCTCTCAAAGAAAATATTAAAATGAAGAAATTCCTGACACAAAACATCCAAGAAATCAAAGACACCATGAAAAGACAAAACTTAAGAATAACAGGAACAGACGAAAAAAAGATTCCAGACTCTAAGAATCAGAAAATATTTTCAAGAAAATCAAAGAAGAAAATTTCCCAAACCTAGAGATGCCCTTTAAACATACAAGAGGCTTGCAGAACACCAAATAGACTAGACCAGAAAAGAAATTCCTCCTGCCACATAATAATAAAAATATTAAATTTACAGAACAAAGAAAAATATTAAAAGCCGCAAAGGGAAAAGATCAAATAACATACAAAAGTAGACCTATCAGAATAACACCTGACTTCTCAACAGAGATTATGAAAGCAAGAAGGGCCTGGGCAGATGTCATGCAGACACTAAGAGACCACAGATGCCAACCCAGACTACGATACCCAGCAAAACATTCACTCACTATAAATGAAGAAAACAAGATATTCAATGACAAAACCAAATTTAAACAATATTTATGTACCAACCCACCCCTACAGAAGATACGAGAAGGAAAACTCCACCCCAATGAGGTCAACTACACCCAAGAAAACACAGGATATAGATAACTTCACACAGCAAAACCAAAAGAAAACAAGTACAGAAACATACTATCAGCACCAACTCCAAAATAAAAGGAACTAACAATTATTGTTCACTAATATCTAAC